GTTTGTGTATATTTACATGGTCTCATTAAATATCAGTGGGGCTCAGTGAAGTAAAGGCGAATAAAAGCCAAACTGTTTTATCTGTCCACTGTGCCTGCAGCGTATACTGTACTGTATGCTGTCCAACAATGTATCATGCTTTAATAATCCCTGGTATGTTCCACAAGTTTACAGGTTCCCCAATTTTTACAAAACCGCTTATTTTCATTGCCAGTTTATTCAAATATCACTCCCCCGTCTCATCTGCATATTTGGAATCCTTTCATATTTGTTTATCTTTCCCAGAACTGGCTCTGTCAGAGAAAGGACGCTGACCTTTCAGATCCACCCCAGTGACCCAGCAGCAACCAGAGTCTAAAGATCAGTGACAGACAACACCCTGTCAGACACAAGGGTATTGTACAAGCTACAGTGAGAGAGTGACAGAGGGAAAATGTTCACCTGCTGTTTGGCCTCATTTCTCATTCTCTGCATTAGCCTACTGAGTTAGCTTTTAAACACATCCCGGGAAACTGATGTCACAACACTCTGAGGTGTACTTTTTAAATGCAAAACAGCGCCTTCACACACCTGCCACGTGCACCTGTACAATATGTTGATTTAGGATACTTCTGGGAATAATACGCTCACTTTAGTTAATTCCCTGTGGGCTTTCCCTAAATGTAGCCAGCCCAATTAAGACAGAATCCGGTCTAGATTGTTCTGAGTATGTTTGCCTGCATTGACAACGAATTGGCAGTGCAGGCAAATGTTTATTAGCCTCCTAAGAAAGTAACACTGGTTTTTAATTTTGTTGTCACATTCTCTTATTTTCTCTTTTAATGTTGCTTTATTGCATTAATACTAGTAATACTAATTTGTGCATGTTACATACAGAGTTAGATGATTGGAGATGATTACCTTGGCTTATTTTGAAGAAAACAATGGGAAACAGCTAGCCTGGCCATCGAAATTTCAAAAGGTTGCTTACAGTAGCAATACTTACTGTACATTACGGGGGCGGCTGTGGCTCAGGAGGTTCAGCGGGTTGTTTCCTAACCGGAGGATTAGCGGTTCGATTCCCGGCTTGTCCAGTCAACATGTTGAAGTGTCCTTGAGCAAGACACTGAACCCCCAGTTGCTTCCGGTGATGTCACCGGTGTGTGAATGCGTGAGTGCTTGAGAGTGCGAATGGGTGAATGGCCGAATAATGTGAAAGCGCTTTGAGTGTGCTGTAAAAGCGTAGAAAGATGCTATACAAGTATAAGACCATTTACATTATGTGTAACAAACAAGGCTGAAGACAGCAACTGACATTTCAGGTATTTGTTTCAAAGGAAAGAAAAAAGAAGCATTTAATGTTTATCTGAAATCCACATGCTCTTCTTCTTCTTCTGTGTTACAAATTCACCAAACAAGGGCATAAACATGTATTTCAGAGTGTGTGAGGTACTGCGGCCATTCTGGTGTTCTGAATGTGTTGCTGTAAAAATGTTTTTTATTTCACCAGATTTGTCTCTAAAAGCCACTGCTTCCTCCCGCCTCTCTGTTGTTATGTAAAACTGGGGAATCTGAGATTGTTAGGACATGTTGATAATTTATCTATGATCATCTGTGTTGCTCATTAAGATCATTGAGGCTTACTGTTGAGAAGAAAAGAACAAACCGAAGCAAATTCCATCATCTGTGATCATGTCAGATGTTAAGTGGTAAAATAACATTATGCAACTTCACTGCATTAAAGACAAAAGTCAAAACTCCTCACTTTTTATTTAAGGAAATACAGTATAATTTTCTTGATATTGCAGTTTATTGTCCATATTTTTCCACTTTTCATACTAGAAAAACCCACTTTTTTGACATATTTGTGGATACAATGTCTAAGCCTAAGATCTCTGGTAGGAGTGGGGCATTCCCATGGTGCCTGCTGACTGACAATGTCTTGCTAAGAGAAATGCTGTTGATTTCTATGGAGTACTGTACTTCAGAATGGAGCACGTTATAACCACGTGAAGCCATGCACAATGATACATTATTTGTTTTTGTTTTTTCAACATGCCCACATGCGTTGGTCACCACATAGTACTGGACACATAGTTCGACACATAACCCCTGTAAACTGGCATTTTTATACTTCGGTTATTGTATATATTAAACAAACAATATACAATGTAAATTAGTGAGATTTGGAGGTGCTCATAGGAAGATTTTGCTACCTACGACTGAGCAAGTCATTACCTTTCTTTCCAGTTGTTATGTAACAGTAAGCTAAGCTAACAAGCTTAATATTTATTGTACAGCTCTGGGAGTGGTACAAAAAGCACATAAGGAGTAAGCTTCAGTACTGGAAATACTGGATGGAACAATAACTTGTTCTGCCGGATTTAGTTGTATTCGATGGCTGATGAGTCATCATGAGCTCTGGCGTTGTTGTGCAAATGATCAAAACCCACATCAGCAGCAGGTAGCCTTGTAATCACAGCACTATTTTAGCTGAGTATTCAAACCAAGAGTATGTAAAGCGTCATCAAGTCAGAAATGGGACTAGGCGATAGCTAGAAATATCAGGAAATCAGTCTGTTAACTGCATGTGTGGCTGTTTTATTGAGTATCTTTACACAAATACTGCATCATATGTAAGTTGGGGTCAATAAAACATCTGAAAAATAAACTAATACAACTGATTCTTTTTTTTGCCTTTGATCATAATTTTATCAAATGATCAATACCTCAAATCAAAAACCAAGGTGATATACAGTGTGCTCATATCTTAGCAAAAATAAATGTTAATATTGAGCTTTATGTGCTAAATTACCTGTTGACTATGAAGTAAACAGTCTGTGAACAGATAATTTCACCTGGTATATGGTTAAAAGATCATCTTTGCCTCTGTCTGCTGATTCTCTCTTTTTCTCAACTCTAGTTTCCTCTCTGACACAGTAAAGGCCCCATGTTCATTAAAAATTTACAGGGTTCCAAAGTAATGCACTGTTGACCATTTAATTGTAGTAAAGGCTGATCTGATAAAGAGGCATTTAGTTATTATAGCAGACTAGGCTCATAGGTTAAACTCATTTCCAGCAGGTTAGCTTGAAGAAAATGAATATAGCCAATTGCACAATAGACATTGCTTCAAATTAGATAGTAATCGTTTAATTTCATTCTAATTAATTTGGCTCAGCTTGAAGTGTAAATTTAACCTACCCATAACCGCAATGAAATATGTTCAAACCTAAGCAAGGATGAGTTAATTGATTTCATCACCCTGCCAAACAATCACCTCGTAAATTGTTGTGCTTCATTAGAAGAGTCTCACAGGATGACCCATTGTTTTCCCTAATTCTGTGAATTCTTACTACTGAATTTCGAGTGTGTATAAGTGTGTGTGTGTGTGTTTAATGAGTTAAAGAATTATTTTTGTTCTTTAATATCTTCAGAGGAAATATTTGGATCATTTACAGACTCTTGTCCTTTCAATTCTGCATTTAACAACAAATCACAAAAAGAAGAAAACATTCTGAGGTTTGGATGTTTATTAAGGCATCATCAAGTTTCGTTACATTTTATAAGAAGTGGTAACTCATAGAGAGGTCTCCCATTATCCATCTACTTTGCATTATTTTTTCAGTAATCACGACAGTCCTTGAACACCGCAAGACAAAACTTGTCTCTCGTCAAAAAGCTTCTGGTGTTGATTGACTGTTAAAATCAGAGAGGAAGGAAGCAGGCCCGTCGTTTTTTGCCACTGAACCATCAAACCATGTAAAAATAAATAAATAAATAAATCGTGCATCTCCAAGTTATTGTTGGCTGTTGAGGACTAGCTGATGCACGTATCAATTGTAATCAGGATGCATATTGATGGAGTGCAGGCTTCACTCAGGTAATGCCTAGTGAAAAGATTGAGGGAGCCAAAAGATGAATACATTTTCTTCACTTGTACATGTTATACCTGTGGGGTTTTATACAACATAGTAAAAGTAGCGAGGTTTAGAACCAAACATTTATGAGATATTGCTAGATTTGATTATACAAAGGCATTAAATACAAAAAGGATGACAGTGTAGTTAATCCAGGTCTAGTCCCTCCTTGCCCAGTCTTACTGTACAGTATTGCTAAAGACTCTCACTCAAAGCTAAAGCAAATGTAGGAGATAAGTAAATTTTTAAAAGCATTATAAATCAACATATTTGATCTGGATATGCAGTATACAACTCTTCAAAATGCCAACTATTGCTACAGGAAACACAGATCACTCTGTGCACACCCGGAGGTCAGAAGATTTGAATAGTATATTATGATATTATTATTGCTACTGAGTAGTACTATGACCAAATACACAACTCCCTCTCAGAATACCAAAGCCTCAGTCTATGAATAACAAAACAGCTCCCAGACTCTCCCCACCTGCCGGACTAGTGTAGAAAAACAAACTCAGATCTTGGGCTTGACGGTTCAATTCTCAATTCTCGTGAAATATCTGAAAATGCACTTCAAATTTAACTTATTGATTTACTCCTATAAACACAGGTAATAGTTAATATGGAAAATGCTACTGCTCTTCATGGCTTCAGGCTTGTGTTTGAAAAGCCCTCAAAGGATCAGCTACCAAACATCTCCTCTTTCTGTAGGCTACGGTACAACAGCTTTTTTAAAATGTTTCAAAAGACGTCACAATCTGATTTTGCCTCATTAGGAGATCTAATGATGTTTTTGTTCTGTTTCTCTTTAGCTCCTATTGACACAAAAATAATTAAACCAAATGTTAAGCTATTAGTTTTTAACATCTATCAATGACTGCAAACCAAATTCTTCATATACTTCATTTGTTTCCTTTTGGCAACATACATGAATAGCTGAGCAGCTAATTTTGGCTGTTTCAGTGTACTTCAGATGGATTGCCTTCAGTGATCCCTGTACTTCAGTGCAATAAATCTATTCATTACAATGCATACTCTAATAGAAGTCTAATTTGTTGTGGCTGACAACAGACCTACACAAACCTTTGTAATTTCTTATTGACAAGATTGACATCAGGCCAGTAAGCATAATTGGCAGGTGTTCTTTCAAGGGAGTTCATGACTTCGGTCTTGCCAGTCTTTACAGTTTCAGCGGTGTTGTGGGAAGTTCCTCATTTGGATGTTGTCCCCTTGGAGTCCTGGGTTGTAATAGTCCAAACCACCAAACTTCAAGTCCAGAGGTTCACTGTTGTCTAATCTGAGAACTGAGAATTAAACAAATCAACATTAAACATTTGTACCATGGACCTTTTTCATTATGACCTCATAATACAAATGTTGCCATTATGGATTTGACCTATGTTTTTGACTTGCAATAAAACCTGATAAATTATAAAATAAATTATTTAGGTATAACTAAAACACTTCCATTACTGTTATAATCCATTTAGTGTGCAGCAAGTGCACTTTTTTGTTTTAGGTTTTAAATGTTTTAATTTCAACAGGTAGCTGACGGAACATAGAGTAAGCAGTGTATTCATAGTACAGTATTGCACAATGTTTATTTTGATCAATTTTAAGATTCCATTAGAGTTGTTATTGTCCTTTCCATCTACATGTACTGAGTACAACTTTTTGAAAGTAATTTTGGGAATTATAGGAAATCACTACACCTAAATGAGCTAAAGAATAAACAAGGTTGAAGGTAAGTAGGTACGCCAAAGAAGTAAATTACACTCAACCACAGAAAAACAACTGCAACACAGTCTACTGAGAAATGTTTTGCTCAATTTGTTGAGAAGAAAAAAAAACAGATTTTTCAGTAGGATGATGTTATTAAACTGAAAAAGACAGTAGTAAAAATCATGGCTAATGTGCAAAGATGGACACCCCCTCTCCCTTTTATTTATCAGTGCATGTGTGTGTGGTTTTTTTTATTCAAACTGAGGGTCTGCAAATAGCTGTTGTCTTATATAGGTTGTAAGGAAAGTTTGTAATTTCCACCTATAAATAAAAGTGAATTGACCTGTACTCTATATTATAGTTGAGCTTTGGTAACACAAATTGCTTAAAGTACAACTGAAAACAAGTAGTCAAATAGATTTTTAATGCTTAATTGCTAATACATATTTTATCATTTATTTAAAAGCCATTAATATCAACTTTTTGATTGCCAGCGTGTGTTAAATCCCATATATTTTAAGCATAATATTAATAAAGTGTTTCAAAGAGTGTTTCTCAATTTCTAATGAAGTGTTAGCAAAAGTTAGTCACCTGCAATTATAAACAGAGCAAAACCATGGGTTTTGTAGTTGTAAATGCTTGTAAACAGTTATAAACAAATTTTGGTTCAGATGTTCTGTAGCCTTTTTCAAGAGTGCAGGCAGGCAGACATTAGAGAGTCTCCATAAAGAATTAAAAAGACAAGTAAAGGAACATGCTGAAGGAGGATTTTCCGCATTCTGACAACCCAACAGCTGTTTTTAATTCATGGCTTACAACTGCTCTAAGTAAATTATGTAGTAAAATAACACCGGTGAATGATGTTAACCATCAGTAAAGCCATTAATTACAGCTTACAAATCTTTTATGAATGATGCCTTATCAGAAAGCGGAACCTACAAATAAATAAGTACAAATATGAATCAAAGTGGTGGTTTCTCATGCCTCGCTTGCGCCATATACTGGATCATTACTTTTTCAGCATAGAGGTTGCATTGAGCATCTAAAAGTTGTTTAAAATTCTGGAACTGTTTGCCATAACAGAGCTTTTGTCCATTTTGAATTGGAAGATTTCTTTCATTTTATAAGCAGATATTTGAGTAATGGATCAAGCTTCAATTCAGGTTGAATTGCATCCTGGTGCTCCTCCAGTGTTTGAGAATATATGCATACAGTTCATGTCTTATGTTAAATATGTGCTATAGACAGGAGCTTTAACTTAGCTTAAAGACTAGAGGATATTGTTTCTTTGGAGAAAAAGGCCAGTCATTTTTTATATTACCAGAATTTTCAGTAGTCCCCATACAGAAACTAAAATGCTTGAGTGCAATTTCCGGGTTGCAAGCGAGAGCTCCTCTTGTCTGTTCTACGATTTTTCACATCTTCTACATTTTCAAGTCTTTGAACAAATTCTACAACTATTAAAATGCCTCCAAGAGGGAAAAGAGCTAATAAATCAGAAGCGAACGAGGATGTAGAGGCAGAAGAGGATTATATTTCAGCGGCGCAAGTTGAGCCAACAACAAGATAACTTCAAAGGTTTTGTGCAACTACTTATGGAGACAAATAACAAGAGACTTGACGACATGACCAGAGAAATACAGGAGATAAAAACGAGTTTGCAGTTTACCCAGCGAGATGTGGATGTGATTAAAGCAGCCATGGGTGAACAGAAAATACAAACCAAGGAAACAAGGGATGATGTCTACAAAACTTGTGAGAGTCTAATAGCCATAACATAAAATGGAGCATATGGAAGTACAGTCCAAGTGAAAAAACCTGATCTTCGAGGGAATCAAGGAGTCAGCTGGAGAAAGCTGGACGGATGTGGAATGTAAGGTGAAGGAAATATTAAAGGATAAACTGCAAATTCATCAAGAAATTGAGATGGAGCGGGCTCACAGAGT